AGTCAAGTGCGCAAGAATACCTGCCATCCCGCATTGAAAAATTTAAATTCAAGTGCGACCGCTCCTACAATAAAGGTATTTACAATCTGCTACGAGCAAAATGTACGGAAGAAGGCAGAGGCTTTTATAATAAGTGGTATTTCTATGACAAAGTGGCATCGAATGACAATAAATAATTTTCAACTAGGGGATTTTCGTCAAGAACATCTGTCGTCTTATGAGTGGTCGGAGTAACGGTAGTTTGCAAAACAACTGGCTCAACAAGGCATGGTTGCGGATCCGCAAGGTGTTGTTTTTTGGATACGGGTTCGTCTTCGTCATCAGCAGAACGCTTTTCACGGGTAGTGACTGGGGGATCCGAAATTGGAGACAAAGTTTTGTAGTTGGTAACTGGTTGTAAGTTTTGGCTACAACAGCACAGACGCGCCTCGGTTGACTGGCAACAAGTATCAGGTTTGTGTGAGAAGGTATCGGATATCTGAACGGATGCATCGCAAGTCAGCACTGATATTGGTGACGGGACATCCTCGTCCACTGGCAAACGAATAGATGTCGAAGACTGAAGGCAGTTCGAATATAATTTTTTTGCGTAGTTGCGTACTGTTATGTCCTCATGACATGAAAGAAGTTGAACGAAATTCCGATAGGGCAGCAAACCAAATGTAAAAGAAGCGTGGGATGTAAGTGCTTCAATCACACGAAGAACGGATATCAACAAATGCGGTCTCAGCAGATGTGATGAGCTGACCGACAATGAGGCAGCATTCATAAAGTAAATCAACTTTCTGACAAAGTCGGATAGTGCGGCACTAAGATGCATGAGTGAACTCTTGAGTTTTTGCGAAGGGCAGTCATCATCTAAGTTTTCTCGAAGGACATCACCATTGTTAAGACAGGTATTCAGTGCTGATGGAACCTGGACAAACAAATGTTCAACAAGCAATAAAGCTGCGACAAGTACACACATTCGGAGGTCTTGAGAGATAACAGAATTTTGAAAGGTATAGTCAGGGCGAATTGAGAAAAGGTCGCTTATTGAGGATAAATCGTCACACACTTCGGCACTCAATCGAGCAAAAGTCCTTCTCACTGCTGCAGAAGAAAAATATGATGCATTACAAGTGGAGGAAGAAAGCGCACGATACACAGAAAGCCTATAAAGAATGGCCTCGACCGAGGGCTGGGACTTGAGGAGGACCGAATTCCACTCCAACTGGTAAACGAGACCAGTAAGAATCGCAGGTATGGACGGCAAAAGAATTCCACCAAAAGAATTAAGGGTAACTGAAAAACAGTGTAGAAGCCGTGTGAAGCAAGAAATTAGTTCAGAGGACGCGTAACGAGGGTCACAACAATTAACGGAAAGAACCGTTGAAGTCAGAGTCGAGAGAAGCGGTGCACAGACTGGCATGTGTGTAGCTGAGCCCCACTCAAAGACAGATCGAAGGGTACTGCATAGAACTTCGGTTCGGCTAAAAGCCACCTGCGATCGAAGATTGGCATCCTTGATACCGTTATCGAGAGGCACAAGGTGTTGGAGGCCA